AGAAGTTAACAAAACTTTCGCTCTACATCGCGTTCGTTGTAGACGATGACCAGACGAGAGGATACCGGACGACATTATTGGAGCGTGCTGAGTCAACCAGTCTTTTAAAACTTCGGTATGCGTGTAGGGTGACGTGAACTGACATTACCATTAATCTGAGTTGAAGCATTTGCTACCTATGGCAGTTATAAAGTCAACATGTTGCATGTTAGAGAACTTCAAAGTTCAATATTTGTACGAATGAGACCTAGAACGTTCTTTTAAAACTGTATTATATAAAGACGTTTCCCACAAATTACGTAACGATAATAAGGGTTATGGTTTGAGCCAAACTTACTTTGCGTAACACAGGAACTGCGAGCGTTTTTTAGTAATACATCCCTATTTTTTTATTCTTCAACAATTACATAAGTAAAATCTTATATTCACTCTTACATTAAGACAAACATTAAAATTATCAAGAAATGAATCAAATAATGAATTTAAATGAATTGAAGTATAATTACATTAAATATTACTAAATATAAGTAGTTAAAATGTGGAAAAAAATCCCCCTTAACAGTCAACTAATTACATATACTGAAGTATGAGCAGTCAACTTCAATAAATATTAAATTAATAAATTACTAATGTTAAATTGTTTTAAGATAGAAAAACATCAATCAATACATGTGTTAGATAACGAAGAAAATATTTAAAACTAATTGACGTAATATAACTAGTGGTGCTACAGACTGGCTCAAACTTTCCCATATTAGTTTTATATTTGCTTTGGTTTCGTCTAGCTACTCGGACTTGCCACATACTCTTGCCAGCTGCTACATACTCTTGCCATCCATCGCCGTCCAAAGTACATTTTTTTGACACTTGATTTTTCGGTTTCCTAATAGTAGAGCGTAAATATTATTTTAAGATTATTAAATAACAGTAAAACCTCATTCTAAATGGCAATTTTCATTGAAAAAATTGGAGCCATTTTTAAGAAAAAGATGCATAAGCGCTACAGTAATTCGACATTTGAAGCCCTTTTTCACAGAAAAATTTTGAGTTCTCGAAAACTTTCATTAGAAGACATTTTAAGTTCTTTAAATCATAAATACAATAGTGTTTACAAATTGTTGGAAATGTGCACATCGATGGCGTGAGAGATTTAAAAAAAATTACGTTTGTGTGAGTTTTGAAAAAACAAAAAATACACCGAAATTAATTTTACGTCACATTAAAGAGTACAATTAGTAGTACCCGTGCGAAATCTTTGAAGAAAAAATGTGGAACCGTTTTTGAGAAAATGGCGTTTGAGCGTTTCTAAAAATGCGGAATTTTGAGCTAGTTTTCTCTGAAAACGATTGAGTTTTCGAAAAACTATATATGACATTATTTAAAGATAATGTACTCATATATACAATAATGTGAACAAATTATCGCTATTATTAATATTAACAACATGAGAGTCAACAAAAAAATCATTTTTTAATTTTTTAAAAACTGAATAGAGCAATGTGACTTTTATATCGTCAAAGAGTATATTTAGCACTTTCTCTACTAATAGTTGAAACATTTGGATCCGTTCTTGAAAAAATATTTTTGTATTTTTTAAATTGCACAAATTGGACGCAATATTGCGTACAAATTAAAATTTTCAAAACAATGTGCATGATCTTAATGAAATAACAAATTGTGTACGACAAATTTTATTTTAAGAAAAAATATCTTTATTAATGTAAGAGGACGTTGAAAAAATTCAAACTTTAAAAATTTTCAAATATTCAGAGTTAACTGTCAAAATCGGAGCTATGCCACATTTATAGGTGCATTTTTCTCTCTTCTTCTAAGAAATTAAAGAAAAAAATTGAAGCCATTTTTGAGTAAATGTAAATTCCCAGAGGCTTCTTGTAAAGTACCCCCAAAAACCAATGAACGATTTTCTAAATCGCAGAATTTTGACTCAGGTCAAATAGACAAGTATTTCTTCAATTTGGAACAAATCCTTCGCATGGTTTTGGTGCAAGTGTTTTAACATACATCAGACGGATTGACGTTTTGAAAAAAGAAAAAACAACAACACTTTTTCGGTAACAGCGTAAAACAGCGTAAACGTGTACTTTCGTCGAAATCGATTCTCCGCCGCATTACATATATTTCCCTATACTATGTAAGTAACTCGGGAAAGTAAAAATATGGGATCATCTTCTGGATATGCCAAGTTTGTTACCACAAATTTTCTTGTTACTCAAGTAAGTCCCCATCTTCCTCAAAGATCTCTTGGTTTACATTTAACATTTATCAAAAGCATTCCTCAGGTGGGATTTTTCACTATCGGACATACTTGTAAGGTGAATAAAAAATGGGGGAGGCTTTTATTATTTTCATGTGTGTGTGTGTGTGTGTGTGTGTGTGTGTGTGTGAGTGTGTGTGTGAGTGTGTGTGTGAGAGAGAGAGAGAGAGAGAGACAGATCATAAACTGCTAAGGTAATAAGTCCCGTAAGTGTAGTACTTTTTTCAACAGGAGATGGCTGGGTGGCGAGATCCAGCGCCGACCAACCGTCGGCTAGTGGGTGTACACGTAAGGGATTAGGATACGACAAGGAAGAGGAAGGAAAGATCGCGCGTGGCCCATGGACTATTGGTAAGGGTTCAGCTCCGACATTCGCCTGGTGTTAAACGGAGAAACCACGAAATATACCGATCAGAGCAGCCAGCCGTTAGAATTCTCCTCCCAAACAGCGACTGAATTCGGCCTAGCTGACAAACAATCACTCTCCACTTGATTCAAAAAGTCGCGCGTAATAGATAAACTTCTATTTGCTTTCAAAAATCTTCTGCATTTTATTCTGGAGCACTGCTAACGTTGAAAACCATGTGAGGAAATAAAATTTAAAACCGTTATATTCTATAGCTTGCATATTTCCCTCACTTAACACACACACACACACACACACACACACACACACACATACACACACACACACACATATACACACGGCTCCAAACTTCATGTTAACCTGCGTTCGATGAGATGTTCTTATCACTGGTGCTAGAATAGCTATTTGCGTTTCTGCCTTTTGGAAACAACTAGATTCTTTCCTCCTCCCGAAATACCGTTGGGGATGCAATTAGTCTGTGCCTTCTCAGGTAGCCAAAAGTGAAAGGGGATTAACTGTGAAGTGACTACGAGGGTGATCATTGGAAGGCATCTGGCGACTCCTGAGTCGCCTGAAAATATGAGAACATATTTTGCTGCTACTAACCACTAAGTTTCCTAAATTGCGTCAGCGTTTAAAAATACGAAGGACAAAGGTTATTCTGCTTCCAGACACATAAGAAAAGAAGGAAGTAAAACTAGTTCTGTCCGAAGGTATTACTATATGTGAGCGTATGGATTTAGTTAAAACATTCACTTCATTATTAAATTGTCATTTAAAAAAGATCTACTACGAAATACGATGCACTTTACGGCTATAGACCGTTCGTTAAATACGTAGTTTCATTTATATTAGAAAGAATTTTGTTGAAATTATAATGAACTTCGCCTTTGGGTTTCAACAACACAACAAATAACTTCTGACAATAATGACACCTTGAAAGGCACATTTTCACTTACGGCAGTCTTAAGGAAAGATCGTTATGGTCTTTATGTGACATGAGCGATGAATGCTCATGGGCTGCCTTACTGTGGTGATATTCCCATCCAAAATACAACCCTCAGTGTCTTACTAAAATTACTTCGCGAACTGAACTTGGAAGGCAAGCAACGCAATCTTACCTACGGCGTATGGAATAGCAACGTTATTTTCTTTCTTTCTCACCTTAACAATTAATTACGAATAAAAGTGAAAGTACTGCCACCACAAAAATGAGAATTTTTCGACAGAAGAAACATCGTGAGGTAGAGTAGTGGAAAAGTAGATACATCTTGTTTCTGTGTGAAGTAAATCACTCCCAATGTAGATTTGTGAGTTCCTGGTACAGAAAAATTGGTTCACTGTAAAACGACCGTCCTTCCGTAGTCACATCCAGCGCGTAAGCAGTCATTTTCTAAGAGAAAGACTTTCTCCAAAACTTATATTCTACAATCTGTCTGCCAGAAATGGGGGTCCTGGGAATTTGAAACTGATATATTTTTATTTTTGGAAGAACTTTACATAAAGCCTAGACACTATCAAAATTGTCTAAAAAATTGATCAGTTTTTAAACAAATATCCCCCTCTTAGACCAGAGAACTCCCAAGGAAATGGATCAGGTCTCATTTTTGATGAACGCTGTTAATTTTGAAGAATTGCAAATGTTACAAACAATGTAAGAAAGTACTATATGCTGATATACCGCTACTAGTTTTATTTTTCTACGCTGGTTACAGGCTTTTTTCTTACGTTGCTGTTTTTACCGGATATGCTCCAGTCTTTCTCACAAAAATGTAAACTTTAAAAATGACTAGGGCCTTCCTGTCAGATGCACTCAGCCGTAGCGATAGAGCCCCGACTGTAGCAAATTTTCATTAGTATCTAGATAGGTAGGTCTAATTCATCCACTGACTGGATGAGAATTCTAACGGTCGATTACTCTGATCTAGAGTTTTCCGTAGTTTCTCCGATCAATACCTGGTGAACGTCTGAGCAGTACCTCAACTAATAGACCACAGACCTCGCATGATCCTATCTTTATCTTTGTCCTGTCCTCCCTCTTAAGGCGACTTACACACTTGGTATTTGGCCACATCGCGAACTACTGCCCGCCCAATTCCGAGCCTCCGAAGTAGTAGGCGAAATGTTCGCTTCGTTTAATGTGCCTAATAGACAGACATATGGTGCGGTGAGGCCGAGCACCGAATATTCGTCGCTTGAAGAAAGCAAGCAACTCATTCACACTACTCGGCGACTTCACACTATGTGTGAAGACGAATGTGTGGAGCCGCCTTTACACAGACACGCATACGTACGCACGCCATTTAACCCAAAGAAGCGACAATCTAATTGCAGCATTCTGCTTGTTCCGCTTCGCAGGAGGCGGAGGCGGAAGCAGGGGCGCAGGAGGAAGTGGAAGCGGCGACGGAGGCGGGCGCCGGGCGCTCGCTGGGCTCCCTCGTCACCTGGTGCGAGGACGTGCTGCGGTTCACGTTCGCAAGGCGCAGAGTGGTTGAGGCGGTGTGCCCCGACTCGGTGCCCCTCTCTCACGTATTAATTTTTTTTATTTTTATATAATTTTAATTTTTATTTTAATTTTATTTTATATAATTTTATTATTTATTTTAATTGTATTTATTTTTATTTTATTTTAATATTTATTTTTATAACATCAAAAACTATTCAAAAATTATGAGTGACGTACTGTGAGAAGGAATGTATTGGGTGCACATATGATTGAACTGTGGGGCCTCTATCGCAACCAGTATTCAAGTTGAAGTCTGAATACGAGCGTTTTGGCAAGAAAATGATAAATACTATATGCTGGCGTGCAATAATAACTATTTGTAAAGGAAGTTTGGTGCACATGGTGTGGTGACTGGCAAAAACAATTGTTCATTTCATTTGTTGTAATTTATTTTTGGCGCGTGCGATGTATGGGGAAGATGTAAAATCTGCGCACATTTTTTAAGCTTTACGCTATCATTTTCCTGTACAGAGTTGAATGATGAATAAATATACCGTAAAAGCGTGCTTAGCAACAACTGAAATTTGAGTATAGAACCCATTTTTCATCGGTAATCAGACTGAGAACTTTATTTTGAAGTATGAATATGAAAACAACAATAAACACACACAAACACACAAAGGCCCTACTATCACAACCAGCGAAAGGAGACCTTAACAAAAAGTGCACATAATGACGCTAAATGCAAAACAAAGGGACAATCTCAACAATCTCAACATTTTCTCCATGGATAAAAGGAAAACTGAACAAAAAATCCATGATCGAGATCAACAAGTTCTGTCCGAAGTGTGATCTGTGTTTCGTAACTTGCCCAGCTCGCTAGTAGTCATTTCGAACAAGCCGTGGGCGGCCTCAGCATCTTTTGCTGGAATTTCACCCCAAATCTAGCACTTCTGCACAACGTAAATATGCATAAATATAAAGCTGCTGGGTCCCGAGATATTCAAATTAGTAATGATATATCACTCCATTTATAGGTCATTTGGAACAGAGTAGTTAAACATATGAAATGCAATTTAAATTAATTAAAGACAAACAAAATCGGGATTGAAAAATGTTAATAAAAAGTTTTAATTATATCAATAAAATATAATTTCACTAAGAAAAACTAAATAATTTGAATAAGTGTCGTCTTCATTTCTAATTACTTTCAACGCAGGTCTGAACGTCTCATAAGCCACCACGTGACGCGAAATGTCCACTGCGGAATTCCGCGTAGGCTGCGGCTCTTTCGCGCCGATCTGTGGGGGCCTTAATACCTAGGCACATTTTATAATAAACTGTAGTTACTGCAGTTATCCGAAGACTGGTAATGAATGTCAGACGCAAAAAGCCCCTTCACCGGTTTTTACTATGGTAAAGAGTAGTGACGAGTATACTCATAGGTGGAGTGATGGGTATAGGTGGCGTGATGGGTATAGGTGGCGTGATGGGTATAGATGGCGTGACGGGTATAGGTGGCGTAACGAGTATAGGTGGCGTAACGAGTATAGGTGGCGTAACGAGTATAGGTGGCGTAACGAGTATAGGTGGCGTGACGAGTATAGGTGGCGTGACGAGTATAGGTGGCGTGACGAGTATAGGTGGAAGGACAGATCTTCTTGTCCATGAAGCGCATCTAACTCTGCAACAATCCTGTTCCAGCTGTCGACCTGCTCCCCATCCTCCGCTCCAGCGCCCACCGAGGCGGATGACCGAGTTGAAGACGCTGCCAAGGACGCTGCAAGCGAGCACTGGCGTGCGATGACATCACCACGCGAGCGCGCCGGAGAGTCGGCGCGCAGACACGACTTGGCCGCCGCCAACCCCCAGCCGGCGGCTGCGGTCGACCAGCAGGTTAGGAAGGTAGGAATGCCCATCAACGACTGATAAAAATAGAAATCTCCAGCAGCAATCTACCTCCACCCCCGCCCACCTCCACTTCAAGCAAGGTGGGTGCGATGGCTCAAGCCCGCGCCGTCTACCGACCCACCATGCCCACCCCGTCCTTCAAAAACCGAAATAAATGAGTTGGAGCGAAGTATGGCGGATGAGCACTCCTATTTCAAAAAAGAGATAGTTTCTATATTTTTTTTTATTATTTAAGGTCGCATCAACAACCAGGTCATTAGCGACCACTATTGCTTGTAACGGTATGGTAACTGTGAGGATGACAAGATATGATGATGAGGGGGGAGAAAGAACGAACACAATGCAACCATGCCAGAGACGGGACTCGAACACACGATCGTTCGGTCCGAGTTCCATTTGGTGTTGCTTTAAAAAAAATATGTATTTGACATACTGAAGATGTCACAAATAAAGTAATATTGGCTCTGCATCTCTCTGAGGCTACGTGCCTAATAACGTTAATGAGCGCAGTAAACCCTAGTTCAATGTAATTCAAAGCGACTGAAATAATCCTTTTACTTTTATAAAAATGCCTGATATTCTATTATTTATATACGAATAACCGAACTTGTTTTTAGGCGGAGCCCCAAATTTTGTTCGTTACCGGCAAATTTCATGCTAAGATAGATCGTACTAAGGATGGTTTATTGTATTTCATTTCAGTGGAGTGAATGTGTGTTGCTTGTAGGCGAGGCGTCCAGACCGCTAGTGGAGCTGGCCCACCCGAGAAAAACACTTCGTTTTTGCAGGAAAGTTGTTTTGGAATTGATATATTTTGTAGATGGGTTCGCCAGCTGGTGGTATGCGCCAGCTGTACCCGTACGGGTAGGGAGATTTACGTGACCTGTTTTGCAGCTTATCGATGCATTTTTTACTTTCATAAAATGTGCGATAATAAGGCCATCTAGAAATACCCGGTACACTGTACAAAGGGCAACAGAAGTGGAGAAGGTTAAATGGAGAGGATCCAAAAATCCTCTGAACATTTAACAGGTAAAACCTGTAGTACTCCTAGTGCAAGTGTAAAAAAAAGTAACAAAACTAGAAGCAACTTGTCTATCCGGGAGATGCCGCATTCTCAGCACTGGTGCCAATGTTTCGGCCGATATTATTCGTATTATTCGACACTTCCTTAGGGCGAGGAGAGTCGCATAACAGCGGTCGAAAAGTTAGCACCTGTGCCTAGGACAATGCGTCTCCCGAGAGCTAAGTATCTATTGACTCCGGCCGGGGTAGCCTACGCTCTCACGTGTAACAAAACTGTAGTACACATTTCCTCCCTTGCACGATAGCACCAATGCAAACGCATTGTTACCGATGTACTGCCGTTTCCCAATTGATTTTCGGACAATGTACATATCTTCCCCGAATAAAATCTATCACCGAAATATCCCCTTATTTCATTTAATGTTCCTGAATATATAAATATATTTATATTGTAAAAAGTAATTGACAACTCTCATTTTTAACCCTAATTAGTCATGGTAACTACATTTCAGTGAATGTGAGGGGACTATGTAATCTAATTTGAAACAAGTTTAATGGATGCGCTTGTCTTATTTCCAAAAATGATATTTTAAAAATACTTCACAAGTAGATCAAGAGTAATCTTCGTTCATTTAAAAGATAGATAGCGTCCTAGGATTCACTGTAAAAATCTGCTAAACCTACATTAACGAAAAACCACGTTTAAAATACGTATACTATTTAATAATTTAAAATGGTTTCAATTAATTTTTGTGTTTTTCTTTGCTCTTAGGGGATTTTAAGAGCATTTGTGGAGATGTTTTCGGTCATCAAAATCCGTCCCCTAATGTTAAACATTTAACCCCAGAACGTTTATTCAGACAGTAATGGGTATATTCAAATTTCAGTGATGAGCACAGTGACCAATATTGTTAAAGATATTTCGAAATGTATATTTTCGCTTAACAAGGCAAACAATGTCTAAAAATTCAATATTAACATTATACAAATGCATAAAGAATAAGTTGTTCAAATAAGAGGGATAGACACTCCTTGCCCATGATTGTTCTGCTCGTCAAAAATATTTAGGGTCCTTTTCCCTAATTAGGTCCCCTATTTAGGCTCCCATTTAGTCCCTTATTTAGGTTCCCATTTAGGGCCCTACCTTTTTTTACTTACGGTTTGATCTGAGAAGTTAAAAACACACACTAACACTTAGATTACAATCCTGGCAACACAACGCATTGACGCAGTGAGCAGATTGCAAATAAAAAGCAGACGCCTTAACTTAAACCCTTAATAGCTGGGCCCACCTCCACAGCGAATCCTCAGCGTTTCAATGCACAGACGACACGTGGAGCCCACCACTATCTATTGAAGTGTACCTACGTGTGGGGGCACATTCATTTCATATTCTAGTGTTGGAAACTTATGGACATACACGACGCAGAGATTACACGCAGAGGGTCCCTCACTGTTTGGAAAGGCTTCTTATTCCCCCCTCCCCTTCCATTTGCTGTGCCCACCTCTAATTCTGGTGCCCACGTTTGTACCGGTTACCCTAAATTGGTTCGCATCCAATTTGAGACGTGGTCGAGTTCATTCAATTTGAATTGGCGCCAGTCGCAACATCGTTTGCAGGACGAGTCGCAGCCGGAGCCGTCCGACTTGGAGGCGATGCCCCGTCCCAAGGATGTCCTGGTGTCGCAGAGAGACAGCTATGAAGTGCTTCGAAAGCTAGGAGAAGGCAGTTATGGCCAGGTAAATGACAAGAGATTTTAGTTCTCTAAGTTATTATTTCAATTATAACAACTAATTTTAGTTTATTTACAAGAAGACTAGGATAAGAGGACTGTCGAAGTTTATTTTTTCTTGTGTGAACCACGAAAACTTTACTGCACAGTACAGTGTAGTTTAGAACAAGAAAGTTACTAGCGGACACCTAAAAAAATGCATTATATTACTACAGTGGCGCAAACAACATTTTTTATTGTATAATGGGCAGCACACTTTCTTTTCTTCTACGTATATTTTATTTTTAATTAAATTAAAATTTGTTTTTATTTAATAATTTACAGTAATTTTTAACGCATAACGTATTGATATACTAAATTAGTCATTAATAAGGGAAAATAGTAAAAAATATTTGAGAGAATGGTTCTCAGCAGCCAGGAGTACTGATGTCTCCCCCTTGAGTCTGCCACTGCTGAACGTCGCAGAATTAAGACTACTTTAATCAGTGAAGAGCTCTGTTTAAGAGGTCAAGAAAGTTGCTATCGGCAAGAAGCCAAGAATGTAGTAATATTGTTCTCAGTCTCCATTCACAGTAACACTGTGGGTGCTGAAATTTATTTTCATAAGTCAAGTACATTGAGCAACTGTCTTACTAGTTAGGCAGGTAGAGGGAAAGAGCTTCTCCTTAACCTTAATCTCTCTCATTTATATAATGATGGTATATATAGGAGAGGTTATCTCCGACATTGTGTGTCCAATCACCAAATCAATTGGCACAATTTTTTTCACCTCAAAGATATGTGCAGTTAATTTTGTTTTAACTCCAGTAAATGGCACTGAAAAAAAAATTGCGCTTCATTTTAATTCAGTTTCTGTTCAAACTACGTTCACCTGGGTTTAATTGTTGCAGAGCGTTGCCGTGTGACAGGACACAAAGAGACGGAGAAAGGAGGGAGAGATGGAGAGAGTGAGAGAGAGAGAAACGCACATAGCCAGAGTCAGGCAGAGAGAGGGACGGAGAGAGCAAGGGAGAGGAAAGGAGATGAAGGGCAGAACAACGTCTGCCGAGTTCCTCTAGTAACTAAAGCAAAAATATTAGAGACCGTTCATTTAACATATTTAAGTAAAAAGTAAAATCTTTTCTGCAGCAAAACTATCTCTATAAATTAGAGACTCTGCTGATAATCAAAAAGGAAAATCTTGTTTATTTTAACAAAATAGTGAAATGTAATGAGTTAGTTTAGATTTGTATTGTATATTTTTTTACTTAACATTCTTATAAAGCTAAAGTATAGCATAAATACTCATATAATCAAACAGTTAAAAGGCCTATTTAAGCATTTTTTGACAAACCAAACTTGAACAATTTTCCCCCTTAATATTACGTAATGTTTATTCAGTTACTTCTTTCGTTTTAACTACTTTTACCATTTACGCATCATTCATACTTATTACAATAAGTACACAAACATCCATTCACCCCATTCTCTCTGGAGTGCCTATCACTGCAATGCCTCTGACCGGGAGGTACTAAGATTAGACTCCCTACGGTGGCAGGATCTTCGCCACTACCTAGAGAGCTGGGTCAAGTTCATCCGCTGTATGTTGGAGAATTCTAGAGGCCGGATGCTCTGCTAGTTTTTCGTGGTTTCTTGAATCAAGACCAAATAAGTGCCGGCGCAGAACCCTAACAAACGGGCAACGAACCACGCGCGATCTTTCCTTCCTCGTCTTTTCATCTCTAACACACACACACACACACACACACACACACAAACTATACTACCCACATGTCGGGAGCGTAGAGTTTAGAGGCGGTGCCCCGCTGGTGGGAGATGTTTAGTTGAGGAAAATCTCCGCAAGCCGACTTGTAGTTTGGCGCCGGACCTCGCCAGGTAGCGAGGAAATTGATTGTTGTTTCCGGACGCGTTATTAGTTCCGTAAGTGTAGTACATGCTTTTCCTCGATAGGTGGCTGTGAGATTCCCCCTCTGGATGACGAGATCAGGCGCCGACCTACCATCGGCTAGCGAGGCGACCTTTCCCGGTTCCGGAGGAGGTCACTGCCACCTCTCGCAATAAAATATGCACTCCACTTACGGGATTAAATACCTTAGTAAGTTGAGGCCCCCGGAGTTGCTAATTGTCTAAAAGAAATCAACTCGCATCAAACAGACGTATACTCGTACGTAACTTCCAAGTCTAGGTAACCATTTGTATTTGCACTGCGCAATTATTAGTTGCTCGATCCCATATGGTGAATTAACATATACGTCTCGTGCCGCTGTCGGCGCCGCAGGTGCTGGAATGCGTGCGCGCGTCGGACGGGCGGCGCGTGGCGCTCAAGGCGCTCAACGCACCGCCCAGCCTGCGCGCCGAGGGCCTGCTCGAGGCCGAGCTGCTGGCGCTGGCGGCGCGCGCCTCCCCGTACGTGGTGCCGCTGCTCGACCTCCTCGACGACGGCCCGCACGTCTGCCTCGTCATGGAGCTGCTGGGGCCCACCCTGCGCCAGCTCCTGGAGGAGCGCCAGCTCTGCCCGCTCCCGCTCGCGCACGTCGCCTCTGTGCTCGCGCAGATGTTCAACGCGCTCGAAGCGCTGCAGGTGAGGGCGCGCCGAAGCTGCTTTCCGAAGTGGAAGCTGCTTGCCGAAGCTGCTTTCCGTTAGTGGAATGGAACTGCATCAGATCCGTTAGAGCAATGGAACTGCATCAGATCCGTTAGAGCAATCGAACTGCATCAGATCCGTTAGAGCAATCGAACTGCATCAGATGCGTTAGAGCAATCGAACTACATCAGATGCGTTAGAGCAATCGAACTACATCAAATCCGTTAGAGCAATCGAACTGAATCAGATCCGTTAGAGCAATCGAACTACATCAGATCCGTTAGAGCAATCGAACAACATCAGACCCGTTAGAGCAATGGAACTACAGTATATAAGATCCGTTAGTGCAATGGAATGACATAAGACCCTTCGGTGTAATCCATGATGCAAAGACATGAGTGAGCTGCTCTGAGGCTAATTTTTACTAATTTATTTCCATCACTTCGTTTCTCGATTCTTGCTGGCAACGAAATATCCTACCTGATTAACACACGTCTGCCTTGCTCGCTATCTTACATACGACCTTCTCCCTCTCTCGCGCGCTTCTACCACCATCTGATGATTTCTGTTGCTCCTCTTTTCCGTCCTCTCCCGATAGTATACTGTCTCTATTGTTTCAATAGCATTTCGATGCTATTCTGTCTTTCTCCCATTTTACAATACTAAGCTCTTTTGTTTTTATCCCAATGATTTCATATTATTAAATAATTTTATATTTTATTTTAAATACTCGTGTTATACATAATTCTTTAAATAAGCGACTTATATTCTTCAAACGACGCTCTGACTTCCCCTGGCTATGCGAATTTTATCGTCATATTTCGCAATTCGGTTCTAACTAATTTATTAAAAATTGTCGCTGAGAGGTTATGACTTATCTCAATACTTGTATTTAATGATAAAATGTATTACATTTTTTATACAAAACGTGTTTAATGACACTGAACGTGAGAACGTCACACAAAAACTCAAAATCTTGAAGATTGTTTTTAAATAAAGAACAAAAATTTAAAATTTAAGAATTTCTTTTCGATATATAATAATTAAATGTACACCATGTCCGACTACCAGCAATAGATCAACTTCGAATTTCCTCGGATTTTTTGTTCTATTCACTTGAACTATAGTAATAATATACCAAAATCTTTCTCAATCTGTATTAGTTAACCTGCTTACTTCAGCAGGCTGCTTCAGTACGAGTTTTCTTGAATAATGTTGCCTTATTATTCATGGACTCCACATCCGACCACATTTTTTCTCAGTTCACCCATCCACTTACCGTGACTACGGCATCCCTTTCTACGACTAATATTTCATCACCTTAGGCATCTTAAATATTTACTGTTAATCTGAGAGATCAATATGAATCACTACTACAAGTATTTCCACAATATAACCTGATTGTTAAGTTTTGGAGTTAATAGTCAAAAAGTTTTATCTACAAAGAAACTGAAATAACTGAAATTAACACGTGTGATAAATTGCATTATACTTTGATTAAAAAATACGTAATAAACAATATAAATTATAATAATCAATGATTCTTGGGCCGTTGTAATTATGCTTCTAATGATTCTTGAGTTTGGATCTTAATAAAAGAAAACACTTTCTTTAAATTTGTTTAATCTACGTAGACGCAACGCGTCTCATAGCTCCTTAAGGAGCGTTGAGCGCAAAATGAAATAATCCTCCGTTAACATTTACAATTATTGTAACATCATTCGTTATTAATCTCCCTCTAGAGGCCGCTGCGTTCGTCAAGTCACGACATGAGGAGGAATATTAGGATAGGGGTTAGGTTTAGGACGCTTCATAGGGGTTAGACTAGCCGCTGTGAAGCAGGAAAATTCGTTTTGTCGTAACAAATTACACATGGGGTTCTACGGGGATTCTACGGAAATCTAACCCGGAACTTCAATGTAGAAAAGCAAGCGACTTCACCACTGATCCACGAGCCACTTTATTTTACCGACGCTTTGGCTATTTATTCAGCCTTCATCAGGGTTATAGAACACATAAAACATTTTACACACAATAATATGAACAGTGAACCATTTCATCATAGCTAAAATTACAGATTTTTAGTTAACATTTATGTTGCTTACCTGTATATGTGAGCTATTATTACAAACATAATAGAAACCAATTAAATTTACGACGCACGTTATTGATGATTCAACAGGTAAGCAACTTGCTAAAAAAGATCGATAAATTTAGATATGATGAAATGTTTCCTATGTTTCCTCGTTATATCTGTAAATAAAATTATTTATCTGTTCTGTAGCCCTGATGAACGCAAAATATATGGCCGAAACCTCGGCAATGTAAAGTGCTTTATTTTCTTTTATTGGCCAAAACTCAAGAATCACTAGAAATATAATAAACTACTCTCCGATTCCGAAAGCAATTGAAACATTCCAGGTCTCTGAGCCGCACTGTTGGTTGTTTTCGGGTGAAGCGACTGTTAGAGAAACTAATCCCTGCATCCTTAATTATTTTTTCAAAAGAAAATTGTTAGAAAGTTTGTTAAACATTTTACGAGCAAATTATTTACAGATTATATAATCAATTGAAATACATAAATCTAAATAGATGACGAAATAAAACGTAAATTCCTAACGTGGTTGTAGTGCACCTGTGTAGTCCGGCTTTGAATATACAAATTAAAATTCAAAAAATATTACTTCACAACATATTCCTCTGAGTCAGAATAAACAGTTATAAACAAAAATAGTTTTCTAATACCGGCGGAAACTTGTGATTAGCAACGGGTTGAAATTTTATTACGAACTTGCAAATGCAGCTTTTAACTGAGTACATCTAAGGGGCGTTAAAATCTAAATTTAATATTTTAAATACCAAATGAACTATATTTTAAGTACTATTTCCAAAAAGTGAAATTACTATGTACTTTTTTTTCCAAAATCTATGAAAAAATCATATATCAGTATTTTTTCTCTTAATAGTTTTATTCTTTGTTTCGATGATAGAGTCATGACTGGAGTATCTGGGTATAAAAACGTCTTTTGTCATCTGAGAAAAGTGGAATGGAGGGACGTTTTATTCGACACGTATCGGTATGAGACCAGGAACACATTTTCTCGATATTGTTTGAATTTCTTAGAGAAATTTTAAAAAAAAGGAGTTGAAAATAATTGTAAGCATAATTTCAAGCAAAAAATCTCGTGTTGGAGGTGTACTTTATGTACATTTAGGTGGTACCAATAGCACATACAGTTACTCTTTTGTGTAATTTAGAGTCAGTTTTAGCCGGATCGGTGTAAAATATTTCGAAAGAATGGTTTAGAAAAAGTTGTTTTTGAGTGATATCAAGACTACTACAAGGCGATACGTTTAATGTACTAGTGAAGACTACGGTAAAGAATAAATAATAATTTCAATAATAAATCATATTTTCTTATTGCATGTTCTAAACAAAAACATATAAAACGATTCTAATTATCAAGAAAACACTTGCATAAAAGGTTAATTGTGTTTAAGTTTTTAAATGTTTCCTAAAAACCTTGAAAGAAAAAATGTCGAACAAGAAAAATCATTTAAAAAAGGACTATTAAAAATGGTTGTTTTATTCAGATTCACCACATTGTGCACACCGACGTGAAAACAGACAATATAATGGTCGTCGACAGTCAAGAAGAAATGTTGTTCGTGAAGCTGATAGATTTCAGCTGTGCCTTCTACAAGGACGTTCCCCAGCCTGACTTTTACGTGCAGACCAGATACTACCGGGCACCGGAGGTAAAGTCATATTTTATTTTCTTGGTTTATTTCAATGTGAATGTTCAGTTGTGAAAATTTCAATTGTTATTTTGGATAGTTATTTTTAAAAAAACCTAAATAAAAATAATATTTTGAACTAGTATGTTTAAACCGTCTGGCAGAATAGCTCTTTAATCAGAGAGCTCGCTTTCCGTTATACGAACCGGTTCGATTCTCCATTAGTCAAGATTATAGCGTGCGTCTTCCTTGCAATGTCCCAGTGTATGTGGCTGTGCGACGATGAGAAAATTCACTTCTCAGTTTGAGAAGACATGAATACGACTAGGGGATGTCTTTGTGCCAACCACACGTACCCCCTCTTAACCCATTGCCGCTAGGCCGTACACGGGCCGACGCGCCTAGTACAAGATTCTACAAGGCGCAAGAAACAAGATGTTTTTTGTTGATTGTCTATCTAGGTTTACAATACAGCAGATAGGCTTTTGAAATTGTTCAGTTTGCATGGGTGTTCAAAAAAATATACTATGAATTTTAATGAATAATTTTGTGGTGCACTACGTCCAGACCTGGTACTTTAGGGCACCGGAGGAATATTCTTATTTACATTTGATGGGTTTATAAACTTTTTAATTGCATAATCAAATACAAGTATTGTTTGTTTGCATGCTTGTTTGTTGTCGCTTCCTATAGCAAAATACATATTTTAGACTACTATGTCCAGATGAGATTCTGCATGTTTTCTGTTGATCCCTAAATTCAGTTTGATAGTAAGAGTTGATACGTGCTAAATGCATGATTGTTTAAAAAAAATGTTTATTTCAATGTAAAAAAATCCTAAAAACGTAGTGTGCAAAATTTCGAGAATATTGACACAGGTGACCTTTTATGAGTAAATTTCTATACATTTCCATAACTCATATCAACTCCGGTAGATTTGTGATGAGTGGGTAGGTTACGTGGAATTAACCGAGAGCCAAACATTCGGTGCTCGCCCTCTACCCGCAGCGAGTTGGGCTTTAGAGAACATCAACGGAGATGAACATTTGCACAGTGCCGAGACTACTCCAGACGATCTCTACTCGCCCAATGCTATGTGAATGATTGAATGAACGAATTAATGTATGGAGACACCTTTACATTGTACCTTTATTTGGACTTTGAACTCAAATAGAGGAAGAAAACCAATCGAAAGTCAAGGTGTGCAAAGGGCATGAGACTTGTCACGTTTTTGACGAGTACAGATACTCATCATTGTCTCTGAGGAAGGTGAAACATTGCAAATAGTGTGAGGGCAAAAGGGCATGTTTGTGTGTAGCAAGTGGATCTGAGACCGCCAGGTCGACGTGTGGTCGGTGAGAATTGCAAATATTTCAAATGGTTGCGAGGTCAAAGGGTCGTGTGTGTATGTGTGACAGGTGATGCTGCACGTGGACCTGGGTCAGCCGGTCGACGTGTGGTCGGTACGAATTGCAAATATTCCAAATGGTTGTGAGGTCAAAGGGTCGTGTGTGTATGTGTGACAGGTGATGCTGCACGTGGACCTGGGCCCGCCGGTCGACGTGTGGTCTCTGGGCTGCGTGGCGGCCGAACTGGCGATGGGGCGGCCGCTGTTCGAGGGCGCCAACGAGGCCGAGATGATTTTCTGCATCTGCTCCATGCTGGGCGCCCCGCCACAAGCCATGATGCTGCGCTCTTCGCGCTCCACGCTCTACTTCTGGATCGAGACGCGGGGCACACTTTGCGTGTGGCATCTTCTGGTACGCGCTTTTGATTCCACTTCTCGCCGGCCCGTGCGACCGAGGTTGTCAAGACTGGAGTGCAGTGGCGAGCTCGATTCGTTGGGTTGTGTGTTGGACTTCTTTGGGTACTACGTTTTCGTCATTAAATATTTACTCAATTATAACTTGTCACCTCTTGGGATAGACAAGGTTGGATTGCATATCCAACTAGGTGAAATGATGGTGTTCATGAGTTCGAATATCCTATAAAGAGCAATACAACAAACTAATAAAAACAGTTAGAACCTTTGATTGTCTCGGTTGCTCGAAGGTGAGAACACCTGCCGTTAACCGGAAAACAAGGGTTAGATTCCGATCTTAGGTGATTACTGCTTTGAAAAACTAGAATTTGTAAAGCGGAAGTGAATTATTAATAATTGAAGTTCTCGAAACCTTAAGGTGAAAATTTCAGTTCAATGTGATTTTCAACGACAACTACACATTTACCTTCATTTTAATAAATGTGTAACTATTTAGAATAGTGTCTAAGCGTGAAAAAATATTCGAATGGATAGTTTTAATTGACTAATTAGTTATTTCTGGCGCGTCAACTGCTGCCAGTCCCGTAAGTGTGGTGCGTTATATCGTGGTGATCTTCCCTCGTTCACTGTCAAGACTCGGCGCTGACCAACAGCACAAGATCTGAGCTCCGTAGTGTCTCACGACAAGTGCGGCAGTGTAGTGCATGTAAGTTGAAGTGTGTGTAAGTAAGGGGGTGAGGACAGAGAAGAAGAAAGTAAGATCGCGCGAGGTCCGTGACCTGTTTTTTAGGGTACTGCTTCGGCATTCACCTGGTGTTGATGGGAGAGAACGCGGAAAACACTATTGATCAAAGCAGCCGTCCGCTAGAATTCTCCTCTGGACATTCCATCTATCGTCCCATCTATCTGGCTGCTGTCTAAAATCATGCCACCGCCGGGACTCTAGCACCTCATACCTTCCCAGTCACAGGTACTGGGTAATGTCAGTTGATACCATGATCTGCCTTTGCAATGGATGCAATTTGCAATTTAAAGTGAGAGAAAAAAATGTACGAACACCAGGGTCAATCGAAAAAATAACGGCCCACCCTATTTCTGAAAAATGTTGATTCAGAACGTATCTCCTCTACGATTACTACATAATGTATACATTTTTGCATGTTATCGAATGCAGTAATGATGACGATTACACAAGCCGTGCGATAATATTATTCTTGCACGGCTGATGAGCAATCACATTTGCTTTAGTTCTTTATACACGATCGAGGGTTCTCGGAGGCGCCTACGAAGGGAAAGAGCTCTACGTGCTCTGGCGCGGCTGGTCGCAACTGTCGTACGATGGGTGAACTGCGAAACAGTATGCCAATTGGTGTTAGAGACAGAAACTATTGGTTGTTCTGTAGCCGTTCTGTAAGCTTAGGATGCCCAGATATTATTATTATTGTTATTATTATTATTATTATTATTATTATTATTAAAAAATCACCAATATCAAAGTCTTACAGAAAGTAGTTTTCGCGTGTAATGGCTATTATTCACTCTTAGAAGTTCCAATACTCGCTCCGATATGTTGCTCGTGTCGTAAGTATCAACTCTTAAATAATACGCTCTGTACATTCTTGGCTATCCGGAATGAGCCGCTACAGCAGTATAGCTCTGAAGAAGGCCTCAGCAAGATGGCCGAAACGTCAGCACAATTGACTGAGAGGTGGCTCATCCCGGATAGTCAAGAACGTCAGGACTTCGGCCGCGGAAGCCTACGATCGCATAATACGCGTACGCTCTGTCATTCTACGCTCGTTGCAGAATATACTGTTTCGTCTAATAATCCTTTCGACCACATCCTTCATATCGTTTTTGCATGGCATTAACAGTCGGCTCCAACGCCATTTCTGTCTTCTAGGACGCAGACGCTCTGGGAATTGGGAAGAACACCGCCACACGAAGAATACGCTACTTGTCGGAGGTCATGGAGGTACACTTCGCCCAACGAAAAAGGTTCGGCAGAGAATTGCCGAACAAGGAAGACTCCCTCGACTTTCTGGACATTTTGACTAAAATGTTGACATTGTGTCCTGTAAGTATATGTATTCTAGATATTTTCACGAACCCGATTACGAATTTTAAAAGAAAATTATTTTTTTTAATTTTTTTGTATTATAATTTCAATAAAGTACACCTGGTATTTTTTTACCCGCATGAAAGTGTCGAAAAAGTCTTTGTAGTACTTTTTTCGTTAAAATAATTATTTTAATTGAATTGAAAAACATAAGAACAAACGCATTTTGAATCATTTTCGTTAATTTTCAGGACAAACTGGACTTGGTGTTTACCAAAAGCAAAATCTCGATCCGTAAAAGAACACTTTTTAAAAACAGTTTATGCCTGTATGGAAGAGTCGAAAATTTCTTCGTAAAACGCCCTTCTTTAAAAATAATATTTGTTAATTCAAATCTAAAGATTACGAGAAAGAATATATTTTGTGTCTTTTTCTTTCATTACTAGGACAAACTAAACCTTGTGCTTACGAAAAGTGGAATCTCGTTCAAAAGGATGGAAAAATTTTAAAGATATTTTAATTATTTTTTGTCACTTTATAACATTTTACCT